AAGCAACATACTGCATTTGACTTTTAAAACGAAGGTCCTGAAATTGGCAGGACTAAAAATCACTGTATAATAATGTTTTACATATCCTGGTTCTAGCTGGAATAGCCGATGATAACAGGTCAATTGAAAAGTCCCCGGCCTAAAATAGTAAAACACATTTTTTTTGCAAAATTCGTTTTTTTTATTCAACATAATTCCCTTCAAGGGTGATACACTGATTATAGCGATCCTCCAACTTTTCGATACCATTTTTGTAGTACGATTTGTCCTTTGCTTCAAAATAGGCCTCAGTTTCGGCGATCACCTCTTCATTCGACGAAAATTTTTTCCCAACGAGCATTCTTTTGAGATCTGAGAACAGGAAGTAGTCGCTGGGGGCCAGATCTGGAGAATACGGTGGATGCGGAAGCAATTCTAAGCCCAATTCATGAATTTTTGCCATCGTTTTCACTGACTTGTGAGACGGTGCATTGTCTTGGTGAAGCAGGACTTTCTTTTTCTGCAAATGCGGTCGTTTCTCGGCGATTTCGTCCTTCAAACGGTCCAATAACGCTATGTTATAGTCGCTGTTGATGGTCCTTCCTTTTTCAAGGTAGTCAATGAAAATTATTCCACGCGCATCCCAAAATACAGACGCCATAACCTTGCCAGCCGACTGTTGCGTTTTTGCACGCTTTGGAGCGGGTTCATCGTGTGCAGTCCACTCCGATGACTGTCGATTGGACTTCGGAGTGAAATGATGGAGCCATGTTTCATCCATTGTCACATATCGACGCAAAAACTCGGGTTTATTACGCGTGATCATCTTCAAACACTGCTCTGAATCATCAACTCGTCGTTGTTTTTGGTCAAAAGTGAGCTCGCGCGGCACCCACTTTGCACAGAGCTTTCTCATACCCAAATATTCGTGAATGATGTGATGTATACGTTCCGTTGATATCTGTAGAGTGTCTGCTATTTCATTCAATTTCAATTTACGGTCATTCAAAATCATTTTGTGGATTTTTTTAATGTTTTCGTCCGTAACAGCCTCTTTTGGGCGTCCACTGCGTTCACCGTTTTCGGTGCTCATTTCACCACGTCTAAACTTAGCATACTAATCCTTGATGGTTGATTTTCCTGGGGCAGTGTCCGGAAATTCGTTATCAAGCCAAGTTTTTGCTTCAACTGTATTTTTTCCCTTCAAAAAGCAATATTTTATCAACACGCGAAATTCCTTTTTATCCATTTTCTTCACAATAACAAAAGTTGCTTCACTAAAAATGCTATAATTCACAAACTAATGATCCGACAGCCGTCAAATTTATAGACGCGTCTTTTGAAGGTTAGGACTAACTGAAAATCATATGGATTTAGTTCTGGTGCCGCCATCTATGTGTCAGGCCGGGGACTTTTCAATTGACCCTATAGACATAATTATAATTATTTAGTTTGAATTGGACGGGTACAACCAGTTAATACGGTATTGGCTCTGATATTAATTAATGCCACTTCGATAAACATAAATACTCAAAGTAAAAATGTTTGGTGTCTGTGCTGTTTTCTGAAAACGAAATAAATCTTTCCTTTTCCTGCGAGCAATTTGCTACCTTTTAAACATTCGTAATGTGAAACTGCGTACATATATGTCTGAATGTATCGACATTTAATAAAATATCAGGTTACGAACCTTTGATCCGATGATAAAGTAAAATACTGTTCAGGCAACTTTTAATTATTGCCTTGCCTGGAATAAGAGGAAGAAGATGCGATAACAATAAAGTTATGAGCATTCCGATGAAGAAGCATGACTATGTCTAACACTAACATAATTTAAGAAGTTACTGAAAACGGAAAAAATCGCGATAGCTCGTTCATTCTATGCATGTATTTATTGCTTTATTATTGGTGGTACTAAATGTCGCATTACAATTCAATTTTCCTGACTTTCGAGGAATGTTGGACCCCCCAGGATCCGTCAAAAAATGAGTCAATTAATATTCTATTCAAAAATTATACGCCACATACAATGAGTATGCGTGTGAATAACAACTTAATAAATGAGGGAAAAGACACAACCAAGAACTGAAGATTTTTATTATTGTAGGTACTCATCAACATTTTAATTCCTTTTGTGTGACCATAGTCAAGTGCTACAAATTAACAATGCAAATTACAATCGGTTTAGAACAAACAGGGAGAGCAGAATAGACTAGAACAAATGAACACTTACGATTAATTCGATAAATAATACTAACAGCAAGAAAACTGTATTGATAAGTTTAAAGCATATAGAAAATAGCCACATTCATCTATAAATGACTGTTAGAGGTAAGATACCTACAGAAAATTATTGTCGGAAAAGAACTTCAACTGAAAAATCATAATTTAATATTGAGGGGTTTACAAAGAACCTTTCGACCCGCTGACAAATTATCTCGTACTCAAAAAACATTTGAGGATTGCATATGCTCCAACAAGGTCCATTTAAAAATATGGATATCTACTTGTTGAAACGAATCCCGGCGTAGCATATGTAATCCTCAAACGTAGCATCGTACTACTACTACAGATGGCGCTCACCACGCCATTTGTAGTATTTTCTAAAACGCGCTGTTAAGACGGCAGGTAAAAGTTGGCCTGTGTTCTGTCGGAGCTGCCTGCGACGCGCTGATGAGATCCAAAAAGATCGAAATCGCGATCCGCGTCTGGCAGTTTCGACAGAATACAGACCACTTCGAATTATTTTGTTCAAAAAACATACTTTAAATGACTCTTACAGTTTAGTTACAAAAAATTATTATGGGACTCGAGCAACTTCAACTGAAAAATCATAATTTAACATTAATGAGTTTGGCAGCCTATAAACAACACTTAAATTTTATTATTGCAGTGAATTCTAATTGCAAAGAAAGCCGCAGACAATCGATAAAACTAATACGCCACCTGTTTTGTTTCTTTTTAAGTACCTTCATAAGATAATAATATTCATTCTGTTTATTTTTCGTATATGCTATATTTGAGTATCAGCTGTTAAAGAAGTCCATGTTGCCAAACATAATTTAGCCCCCGGTTTACACCAACAATTCTCGTTGTTTTATGTACACAAGCTCATGTTTATTCGAAGTTTAGAGTACACGCTCGTATTACAACTGTAAATAAATATCAATTAATGTCAGTTATGCTTATAGCATCCGAAAACATTTTCCACATTCTCTTTCTCTTTCTCACACATTACACATTTCTCTCCGAACTTGTGTAAATTACCCTTCCAACTCACTTATGTTGCTACGAAGTTTCCAATCTTTAATTAAACAATTTTCAGTGATCTCTCTTCTTGCTTGCATAAATAGATAGTTACGTGTCTACATGCAGTAGGCAATATCATGTAGGTTTATTTGGGTTAATTTATCTTGTTTTCATTATAAGAATAATGAAAAATACACCTTTTAAGAAATATAAAAGGCAACGGGGCCATGACCGCCACCACCACATATTTAAAGATCAGAAAGTATCATTATTATCCAAGTGGAAAGATAGTATTGTGAAATTATTAAAAAGATATTCTAATCATCTTTGCAAACGAGGTCCAAAATAAGGGTTGAAAGTTAAAAGTCTGAGAAGAATATGACACAAAAGGAGCAAAATTAAAAATGGACCAGGTACCCAGCGGATCCGAAACTTTTTTAGGATTCAGCCGGATACCCCATAATAACGCCGAGTACTTGACAGTCCTGGGGTAATTCTACCAAAGAAAACAGAAGAAACCAAAACCAGCAATAATAATTTAATAAGTATAACAAAAAACCTACTTAATAAAAATTTGTAATTAAGATTGTATTTGGATATTGATTATTATACTAAATTATTTGTTATTACGATATAGTTCTTATATTTACTTTTCTTCTTTGGGGATGCCGGCATACCTGACATAATAAATAAAATCTGATAGAAATATTACAAAACTTTTGAGCTCAATAATAGGTTCGACTAAGAATCATAACAAATGTAACCACCGATATCCATAATAATCAATAAACAATTTTACTACTTACTTTGAAACATTTTATAAATCAAATGATCCAGCACTCAAGGCGCTTCTTAGTGTCATAAGAAAATGTGGAACCACGAAACTATTTCCGAATAAAAGCGTCAATTACGTTACAAGTGGTAGATATCTGATATGTCCTGCAAGGACAAGCTTCTGAAGGTGATGTTCGCAATTAATTAATAATTTCAGTTCAGCGCTAGTTAGAGACATGACAGAAGCAGAAACAGGAGTTAAGAGGAGTAGAGAGTACACCTAGATTAGATTAGATTACTGTTCATAAATAGTTAAGGACGTGGGATGTTCTAATTTTAAGGAAATGCAAAGATTAGCTCAGGAAAGGTCCAGATTGTCCAACCAGTCTTAGGATTGACGACCCTATGATGATAGTGACGATCATGAAGAGTACCAAATAAGTAAAAAGCTATGTAACAAAACTTTTTATCATCAAGTTTATGTTTTGGTGTAATCGTGAATAAAAACTATTTCCGACTAAATGCGTCAATTACGTTACAAATTTTGAGTGGTAGTAGATATCCGATATGTCCAGGAAATTTTCGCTTGATTGTGTCATTCAATATGATAACTGACTTGAATTGCATGTATATGTACCTATGCGAGTTAGTATGGGAAGATGGTTTAATCAAAAAGTGCTGACTGACTACAACTGCAGAAGTTTGTGTCCAATATGCTAGGTCGTATTTCCCTCACGTTTACCTATTTCTTCCTTCTTAAAAGCAGCTATCGAATATCTAGGGGTGTCGACCCTAAACAATTCCCGCCACATAGCCTATATCCTTCTTGTGCGTCATACTTCCTTCAATATGAGCAAGCTGCTTCAAAATAAAACGTAACGCCGTCAGAATCATAACTAACCAAAAGCTTCTCATTGTATGTATTAAACGGTGCAATTGATGATTTAAATTAATGTCAACATAAAATCATTTAAAAACCAGTAAATAAAGTAACTCACCACCAATTTGCTTCCAAAAACTCCTCACCAGTGTGTATCAAATCTTAAATACTTTCGTTAAACGACGCGAAAGACGAAAGTGCATAAATCACTTATTCTTAAATTGTAATTAATTACTAAAACTAAGAAAACACACGAATAATACGTTAAATTAGCATACGTTCGCGATACTAGCCAAACTGCTACGACTGATGATTCACGTTGTGTATCATACTGTTCAAGGCAGAGCCGTTTGTATACCTACCAAGAAACCATCTCGTAAAATATCCATTGGTGCGACAAGGATAAATTTAAAATAAAAAAGGCGATAAAAATAAAACGTTCTATTCACGATAAACAACGACTTTAAGAAAAACAAGAACGACACATACATATAAAAAACAATTCACACAATGCCCGACTTCAAATTACTATACCGACCGATACTATTGATATTTCATCAGAACCATAATCATTTTACTGAAATATCCCATAATTATTATTAAAAATTAGTAGCAACATGCCAAATACAAAATCGTCCAATTAGATAGCGTGGTGGTGTCCCCAAAGCATGTCTATATTCAGTTAGGCTATTGATAAAAGTAAAGTAAATTACAAATTGAAAGAAGACATTTACAAAAAAAATATTTATGTGTTAACTTTTGTTTGAGGATAACGTGGGTAGAAAAGGTTAGAAATGAAGAGGTATTGGAAAGAATAAGAGAACAGAGGGCCCTATGGAAGTCAATAAGAAATAGGCGATATAGGTTGGTAGGACACCTCAGGTATGAAGGTCTAGTCAGAGACATACTAGAGGCAGAAACAGGAGTTAAGAGGGGTAGAGGTAGACCTAGATTAGATTACTGTTCGCAAATAGTTAAGGATGTGGGCTGTTCTAGTTTTAGGAAGATGCGAAGATAGGAAAAAGTGGAGGTACGTGTCCAACCAGTCTTAGGACTGACGACCTTATGATGATGATGATGAACTTTTGTTTAGAAATTCAAAATTGTAAGGAATTGTAAATAGCGGCAGAACGAAGTTTCAATGGAAACCAATTCCAGACCTATTAGACGCAAACAAAGGAGTAATGAGGGGCAGGGAAGGACCTACATTAGAATATTGTTCACATATAGGATGTAGGATTTTTAGGGAAATGCCGAGAGTGAAGCTGCGTGTCCAATCATCCAAAAATGGATAATAGCTGTGAGCGGTTTCTTCAACTTTATTGAAATATATATATTATTAAAGAAAAATATTAAAAGTAGCTCTAGTTTTACAACGAGTGCGCCTATATCGCGTATGTTTTCTGCGTCTAGCCTGCCGACTACACATACAGGATGTTTATGACCAGCAGATTTGGTTATTTTACTCGTAAATAACGAACAGAAGCTGCAGTATTTCGACTTTAATTTTCTGGTCGCTTATTAAAGTCAACAAGATGGAATGTTATGGGTCCAGTTCGCTAGATTTTTTATTACGGTGCAACGCCAGATGATGGTGACTATAAATGTACAAATGAATAACCTTTTCTTATTTTCGAAAACATTTCTTACATTCCTTTTTATTACTTTACGTTTCTTAAACGAGACAATAATGTATCAACTGTCCCGAAAACGACAACAAAAATCTCCCAAGTAAGTAGATAAATATCCGGCGGAAGTGTTACAAATCAAATTCTAAACTTAAAAACGATAGGCATTCGAAAATTCGATCAAAAATTATAGCATAACAGGATCAGTTTCCAAGGGTGATGTTCACTTCAGGGCTAGTTAGAGACATTATAATGTACCATCATGTTATGTAAACTCTGTATGTCAAGTTTTGGGTTGTTAGCGCAGATAATTGTGTATTTCATTTGTAATTATTATGTAGTTCTTTCATAATCTATTCTAAATATTTCTGAAGAAGGTTTCATTAAAGTACACAACTAATATTTACTATTGTCATAAGATAATGTCACTAACAAAATGATAATTAATTAATTTGTAAATAACTAACATCCGTTTAGTCCATTTCTCTTGTGAACAACAAATAATGAAAATTTCCTATAATTGTAATCAAAAATCTACGTCATCAATCGACATAATAAAAACCCTCGACCAGTTGTTGGAAGCATCAAATCAATCAATTAATTAATTATGATTTATTATTAGAGTATTAGCATTAGTGTTAAGATTTTTTTATCTTTATGTCTGTTACAATTCCACTGATCAAGAAAACACTTCTGTTCTGCTGAACGTTTGTTGAACGACCTCATATTATTCAGTATCAAAAATGTTTCTTTACACATATCGATCTCGACCGAATACATAATTCATTCTCATAGACATAATTTTTCACACTGCATGTATGCGATCCAGCATCGCCGCCACAATAGTAAAACAAACAATACAGCAGTTTTCATTCAAAGAAATCATATCGTAAAAAAAAACAAGATTAACAATTGGTTAAATTTAGTTTTTCATTTCCAACAATTAGTTATAGCAGTTATAGTTTGACAGTTGATAATTCCCATAAGTTTTATGTAATAAGTGTTCAATATAATATTAAAAATCGTCCAAGTTTTACTTCAAAATATCCCATTACACATAGAACAAATTAAAATCGCGGTACGAAGACTCAAATGCATTATTAAATAATCATATAAGTATTATAAGAAATCCCAAAAATTACGCGTACCTAATTCGTCTTTTGAACTAAAAAAATTAATTGATGACACGNGCCTTAAATGGAACGCCTCAGAGCGAGGTAACGCCGCATGAGTCATGTTTTTTCGTGCGTGCAGCCGGCTCCATCGAATTATAAGACGTTGTCACGTCAAAAACAAAACCTTTTATCATCAGGTTCATGTTTTGGTGTAATCGTGAATATTTCAAATTCTATTCCAAGTAAACGAAAATAACTTTTCCGCGCCCTGCAATTGTTTTAGAACAACTCACACTTAATTCAACACGTTACGTATAGTTAGTCTGTTAAACTGCATTAAACAAGAAAACAATAATTTTAAATTCAAATAGTTGCGAATTGTTCACATATCTGCTGTGACTTTAGAAGTGATCCCATTTATTCCGGTTGCAACTTCGCACATCGGGTGTTATTAAGCAGTAGTTACACCAGATCTGTACATAGGAATTGTCGATGTTTGTTCTAGAATAGGTTATAATTAAGTCGAGTGGAACAGTTTTTCGTTCACGGCAATGCCCTTAATAGGCCTCGTCTTTGTTTTGCTGACATTATAGAAGAGAGAAATAGTTCTCGAAATGCTTAAAGTTAACTTTAATTGTCATTAATTGCTGATACGACAATGCAAACAACTCACGCTTAAAATTCTTGCTTTTACTCATTGCATTTATTTATCGTAAACTGCTTACGTACGTAAACCAGCGGCGTCCCTTAGGAATTAGCCGACGAGAGGTAATAAATGAAACAATTATTTAATTGAAATTTCTTGGTAGCGTCACAAAGAAAATGCTTCTCGTTTTTTCAATAATATGCTGTTTCTTCGTAGGTAAAGATCCTACAGGAAATTCTTTGACGACTTTTTGCTTTTCTGATTTTCTGTCTTCTCAAACACGAACAATTAACAGCAATTAATTTAATGTAAATTGGACAACTGAAGCTACAATTAAATGTAACTTATTAACATTTAAATGTTAGATGTATAGTTAAAATAAACAGCATTAACATATGTATAAACATTCCTTTTGGTATCGTCGTGTAATTGGAATTCCTGATGGTCAGTGTCACAGCTGTTTTTCGGCATATACGGCAATATTCGATACTACATTTGACCATTGGGACGGTGAAAATATGTGGCAAGTTTAAAATTAAAACAATAAAGTGGTTACAAAATTGCCAGGGCTTTCGGGACCAGTAGTGCTTTCACCAACAAAGAATGCAACTTATGTGTTGAAATTCTAAAGACAAAACCTTAATTTGTTTCCATTTCGAAGTTTCCTAATACATAAAATATCGGGTTGTCCGGAAAGTCATTTCGTTTTTTTTTTGTGGAAATGAAAGACAGTTTTCGTATAATAAACACTTGCTTTATTAAATTATATATTGACCGTTCTGGTCCAACACCTTTTGCCATCTTTCTGGTAGTAGCATAATTCCACGCTCATAAAATTTTTGGTCTTTGCTGGCAAAAAACTGATCGAGGAGGTTTTTG